CTATCAAAAACTACAAACATAAGCTGGCCATCGGTAGAGTGCACCTACAGTCCTAGCTACTCGTGGAGCTGACGTGGAAGATCGCTTTGCACCTGGGAGCAGAGGTTGCAGTGGGTCGAGATTGGTCACTGAACTCCAGCCTGGGTGACAAAGGAGACCCTGTCACAAAAAATAAATCAGTATTTTCCATGCTAAAAAAAAAATAATAATAATAACAGGAGAAAAATAACCATTGAAACGGAATATTTTATCTTGTTTTATTTTATCTATTTACTTTTTTTGAGATGGAGTTCTCGCTCTGTCGCCAAGCTGGAGTGGCAGTGCCGATTTTTGGCTCACTGCAAGCTCCGCCTCCCTGGGTTCAAGTGAATTCTCCTACCTCAGCCTCCAGAGTAGCTGGCGCACACCACCCACACGCTTATTTTTGTATTTTTAGTGGAGATGGAGTTTTCACATGTGGGCCAGGCTGGTCTTGACCTCCTGACCCTCAAGTGAATCTGCCTGCCTCGCGCCTCCCAAAGTGCTGAGATTACAGGCGTGAGCCACTGCACCCAGCCTGAAACAGAATTTTTTTTTTGAGCGGAGTTTCGCTCTTGTTGCCCAGGCTGGAGTGCAATGGCGCAATTTCAGCTCACCACAAGCCTCTGCCTCCCGTGGTAGTCAAGCCGATTCTCCTGCCTCAGCCTCCCGAGTAGCTGGCATACAGGCACGCACCACACACACCCCGGCTTAATTTTGTATTTTTAGTAGAAGACAAGCGTTTCTCCATGTTGAGCAGGCCGGTCTCGAACTCCTGACCCTCAGGTGATCACCCTCCTCGGCCTCCCAAAGTGCTGGGATTACAGGCGTGAGCCCCCACACCGTGGCCCCTGAAACAGAATATTTTAAAAGAAGAAAAAAATTGCCGGGGGCAGTAGCTCACGCCTATAATCCCAGCACTTTGGGAGGCCAGGTGGGCAGACCACCTGAGGTCGGGAGTTTGAGACCAGCCTGGCCAACATAGAGAACACCCCGTCTCTACTAAAAATACAAAATTATTCTGGGGCGTGATGCACATGGCCTGTAATCCCATCACTCGGGGAGGCTGAGGCAGGCAGAATCACTTGAACCCGGGAGGCAGAGGTTGTGGTGAGCCAAGATCAAGTCATTGCACTCCAGCCTGGGCAACAAGAGCGAAACTCCGCCTCAAAAAAAAAAAAAGCCAGGCGCGGTGGGCTCACCACCTGTAATCCCAGCACTATGTGGAGGCCGAGGCAGGCTGTGATCACAAGATCAGGAGATCGAGACGTCCTGGCTAACATGGCGAAACCCCGTCTCTACTAAAAAACAAAAAAATTAGCGTGGGCGAGGTGGCAGGCGCCTGCTAATTCCCAGGCTACTCGGGAGGCTGAGGCCAGGAGAATGGCGTGAACCCCGAGGCGAGAGCTTGCGCCACTGCACTCCAGCCTGGGGCTGACAGGGTAGCTGGAAGAACTCCATTCTCAAAAAAAAAAAAAAAAAAAAAAAAGTGGAGAAAAAAAATTATCTTGTAGGACCTCCTGCCCAAATAAAAACTAATTATCAAGGAACCACCTCACAGCAAGGACCAGTATGGTTTCATGGGAGAGGATTCTATCAAAACTTCTAAGACCACGTAGCACTAATGCTACATGTATTGTCCTACAACACAGAAAAGGAAGGAAACTTCAAATTATTTTTATGAAGTATAACATGAACCCGTACCTGATAAAGATAGAACAATAGAAAATTATAGACCATGCCGGGGGCGGTGGCCTCACGCATGTAATCCCAGCACTGCTGAGGCAGGTGGATCACTAGAGGTCAGGAGTTTGAGACCAGCCTGGCCAACATTGGTGAAGCCCCGTTTCTACTAAAACTACAAAAATTAGCTGGGGTGTAGTGGTGGCATGACTGTGGGATCCCGCTACTTGGGAGGCTGAGGCAGGCAGAATCGCTTGAACCCAGGAGGCAAGAGGTTGCAGTGAGCTGAGATCTTGCCACTGCACTCCAGCCTGGTGCAACACAGCAAGACTCCATTTCAAAAACAAAAAAAACAGAAGAAAGAAAAACTATAGGACCAATATCACTTATGACTCAGTATCCCATTGAGAAAATACTAAATATTAATAAACAGAATTCAAAAACACATTAAAATAATACAACATGTGTGATTTATGCCAAGAATGTAAAGTTGATTCGTTATTAGGAGGTTCATGAAGACAAGCTACCATACGAAAATTCACAGTCGTCTCCAAAGATATGGAAACAAAATTCAATAGTTACTCCAGTAAAACACCACTCAAGAATACAAGAACTGATGAATACTTTGTTAATATGCTAAAATAACATATGCCTTCCCTCTCACATAATGAGGCGTTTCCACTAAGATCAGGACCAAGGTGAGGACGCGCACTATCTCCACTATACTGAACAATGGGCTAGAGGTGTCAGCAACTAAACAAAGAACAATGCAATTCAACAAAGTCAGAGTCATAAGAATCAGCAGGTAGCAGTGTATTCATCGATACTTAAAGATTATATGTTAGTACAGCTGTAAAGCCCTAAAGAATCAGTAACAAAACTAACCTGAACAATACAAGAATTCTGTAAGGTAGCAGAATATAAAATTAGTTTGCAGGGCCGGGCGCAGTGGCTCACACCTGTAATCCCAGCACCGTGGAAGGCCGAGGTTGGTGGATCACCTGAGGTCACGAGTTCGAGACCAGCCTGACCAACATGGAGAAATCCCATCTCTACTAAAAATACAAAAAATTAGCCACGCATGGCGATGCACGCCTGTAATCCCAGCTACTTTGGAGGCTGAGGCAGGAGAATTGCTTGAACCTGGAAGGCGGAAGCTGCGGTGAGGCGAGATTGCACCTCTGCACTCCAGCCTGAGCAACAAGAGCGAAACTCCCATCTCAAAAAAAAAAAAAAAAGTTTGCAGAAATCCATTGCCTTCAAATGCACTGACAATATGCAGTTAAACGATATAATGACACCACTGAAGAACTTATTCACATATCCAACCACCACCTGTTCCCCAAAAACCTACTGAAATAAAAAATAAATAGCACTGAATAATTAATACCCTGAGATTTGGGGGAAAAAAAGGGATATAATGGTAGGGAAAATCCCATTACAACAGGAAAAAAGATGATCAAACACTTAGGAACAAACTAGTCATATGCAAAATATAGATGAAGAAAAATTTAAAACCCTCCTGCAAGACCCAAAAGTACACTGGAACAAGAAGACGTCCCTTGTTCTTAGACAGGACAACTCAACACCACAAAGACACAGTTAATTCATACACTGTCACAATCTCTGTGAAAATATCAATGCTGTTTTTAAGGAGCTAGACAAGTTGATATTCAAGTTCATACAGAAAAATGAATAAGCCATAGCCCAGGAAACAGTGAAAACAGAAAACTAAGGGGGCCTGCCCCGACTCGGTAGTCAAGCATACTACAGAAAGCCTCTACAGTCACGACAGCCTGCTTTTGTGCCACTCTCCATCATAACCATCCTTCTCTCCTGTTAGAGCAGCGGCCTCAACCTTGACATGGAAGCAGCTGGGGGAGGCAAAGCCAAATCTCAGAGGAGAAGGTGGGAGCCGGGGAAGAGGGGGACATCTTTCCCTGCCAGGTCACCTGAAGCTGAAGACAACCAGAGACCCCAGCAGGGCACGGCTGGCAGGTGTGGGTACCTGGGCTCCGATAGAGGCTCTTGGGCAGAGAGGGCGAGTGAGTGTCCATCAAGGCCACGATCTTCATGTGTCCGTACTGCTTGGCCAGCATCCGGGCTGTGGCTCCACTGTGGTCTCTCGCATCCACCTTGACTCCCTGCGAATGTCCGTGAAAGGGGGTTAGGAGCCTCTCCTTCAAAGTGCCTGCCCTTCCTGGGCTGCTGGCTGGGAAGAGAGAAGGGCATATGCTGGTGTCTGACTGCCTCCCTGCATGGGAAACATCACATCTGCATGAGAAAAAGGCAGGCTTGTCTGCATCGTAGCCACAAGTTTTGCTCTCACTCTCTTTTTAGTGACAAGCATGAGGGGGGCTGGGGTTGGGGAGTCATCTCCCAGCTGTGGCAGCTCTCGGATTCCCACTGCTGCCCACCACACTCATGACCTCCCTTGCAGGGGGCTGGCAGCCACCATGGGGAGAGCCCAGCCTTCACCTTCTGCGCCTGGGCTGTGTCCCACTCGCCTTGCTTGTCTGCACTCAAAGAAAGCTGGAAACAGCAGTTCACAATGAAAGCAGCCTTTTTAACCAGTCAGAATGAAAGCACCATCCTCTGAAGCAGAATTCATCACTTTGATCAAAAGCTCTATAATGTATTTACAGGTCTTGTGGTGCAGCAATTCCACTTCCATGACTCTAAGGAAATAACCCTAAATACAGAGAACGCTTTAGTGTGCAAAGGCATTTGGCACAGGCCGGGTACGGTGGTTCACGCCTGTAATCCCAGCACTTTGGGAGGCCGAGGTGGGCAGATCACAAGGTCAGGAGATCGAAACCATCCTGGCCAACATGGTGAAACCCCTTCTACTAAAAATACAAAAAATTAACTGGTGTGGTGGCGAATGCCTAAAGTCCCAGCTACTCGGGAGGCTGAGGCAGGAGAATCGCTTGAACCCGGGAAGCAGACGGAGGTTGCAGTGAGCCGAGATCGTGCCACTGCACTGCTCCAGCCTGATGACAGAGTGAGACTCTGTCTCAAAAAAAAAAAAAAAGTTTGGCATAACATATTCACAATAATGAAAACCTACCTAGAGACAACTTGAATGCTCAGGGGGACAAGGAGCCAGTTATGTTATTGCCATAGATGATGAGATTTACAAACGGCTGTATGATCAAGTTGAAAAAGGATCATGGCCAAGTGAGGTGGCTCATGCCTGTAATCCTAGTATTTGGGAGGCCAAGGCAGGTGGATCGCTCGAGCTCAGGAGTTGGAGAACAACCTGGGCAACACAGTGTGACCCCACCTCTACAAGAAAAAACAACAAATTCTAATCAATACAGCATGTTTCTGGTGTTGCTCTACACCATAACTGTCCTGCTCTCCTGTTAGTCCAGACAGCTGGGGTAGCCAGGGAAGCCAGAGCCCAATCCCAGAGGACGAGGTGGGACCCCAGAAAGGGGGAGCATCTTTAATAAAAATGAGCAGGGTATGGCGGCACACGCCTGTGGTCCCAGCTACTCAGGAGGCTGAGGCAGGAGGATCCCTTAAGTCCCAGAGGTGGATGCTGCAGCGAGCTGAGATCACGCCACTGCACTCCAGCCTGAGCAATAGGGCAAGACCTTGTCTCAAAAAAAATAAAAAAGGATCACGGTACAAAACTACATATACATTACAACTCCTGCAAAATGAGAAAAAAATAAAAAAGTACACAGAAAACAGTATTGGACAGTAACATACCCAAAAGGTTGCTATTTTTAAGTTATTTATTATTTTTGATGGAGATTTTTCCAATTGTCCAATCTTCTGTTTTTAAAATATACTATCATAAGCATGTTTGCTTTTTTTTTTTTTTTGAGATAGGATCTTGCTCTGTTACCCAGGCTGAAGTACAGCGGCACCTAAGGAAATAATGCAGGACATACACTACAATTTAGAATTTTCACTGTGGCATTCAGCATAGTAAGAATCAGAAAGAATCTAAAATAAGAGATTAGTGAGCTACATGAGAGCATATCCAGAAAACAGAGCGCGTCCTGCCCATTTACGTGGTAGGTGGGAGTACCTGCAGCGACACAGACTAGGGTGCACAAAACATCATTAAGAGAAAAACGCAGGGCCGGGCAAGGTGGCTCACGCCTGTAATCCCAGCACTTTGGGAGGCCAAAGTGGGCGAAGCACAAGGTTAAGAGTTCGAGACCAGCCTGGCCAACATGGTGAAACCTCGTCTCTACTAAAAATACAGAAAAAAATTAGCTGGGCATGGTGGCAAGTGCCTGTAGTCCCAGCTACTCCAAGAGGCTGAGGCAGGAGAATCACTTGAACCCAGGAGGTGGAGGTTGCAGTGAGCCAAGATCACGTCACTGCAGTCCAGCCTGGGCGACAGAGGGAGACTCCATCTCAAAAAAAAAGAATCACAACCCTTAAGTAGTTTTGCTTCCACCCATACTGCAACTGTCTCTCCCATTAGACCAGGGGGGCCTCAACCTTGACCCCCACATGGAGTCAGTCGGGGAGGCAGAGGTGGTCTCTGAGCAGGGATACAGGAAAAAACTGTTTTCACAAAGCATAAGCAGTTTTACTTTCTAGACTGCCCTCCATCCTACTTTTGACTCTGGTTAAAAATTACCTATGAAACTTTCAGCCTTAAAAAATAATTTATAGGCCGGGCACGGTGGCTCACGCCTGTAATCCCAACACTTTGGGGGAACAAGGAGGACAGATCACAGCTCATGAGTTCGAGACCAGCCTGGCCAATGTGGTGAAACCCTGTCTCTACTAAAAAATACAAAAATTAGCCGAGCGTGGTGGTGAGTGCCTGTAATCCCAGCTACTCAGGAGGCTGAGGGAGGAGAATTGCTTGAATCCAGGAGGCAGAGGTTGCAGTGAGCTGAGATCGTGCCACTGCACTACAGCATGGGCGACAGAGTGAGATTCTGTCCAAAAAAATAATTAATAAATAAATAATAATACTTTATAGGCCGGGCGCGGTGGCTCAAGCCTGTAATCCCAGCACTTTGGGAGGCCGAGACGGGCGGATCACGAGGTCAGGAGATCAAGACCATCCTGGCTAACACGGTGAAACCCCGTCTCTACTAAAAAATACAAAAAACTAGCCGGGCGAGGTGGCGGGCGCCTGTAGTCCCAGCTACTCGGGAGGCTGAGGCAGGAGAATGGCGTAAACCTGGGAGGCGGAGCTTGCAGTGAGCAGAGATCCGGCCACTGTACTCCAGCCTGGGCGACACAGTGAGACTCCATCTCAAAAAAAAAATAATAATAAAAAAAATAATACTTTATAAGCTAGGCACAGTGGCTCAAGCCTGTAATCCCAGTACTTTAGGAGGCTGAGATGGGTGGATCACTTGAAGTCAGGAGTTCAAGACCAGCCTGGCCAACGTGGTAGAACCCCATCTCTACTAAAAATACAAAAAGTAGCCAGGTGTGGTGGTGCACGTCTGTAGTCCTAGCTACTCAGGAAGCTGAAGAAAGAGAATCGCTTGAGCCCAGGAGGTGGAGGTTGCAGTGAGCCAAGATCACGCCACCGCACTCCAGCCTGGGCAACAGACGAAGCAAGACTGTCTCAAAAATAAAAAATAAAAATAAAAAATAATTTCTTGTCTGGGCAGAGGCTCACACCGGTAATCCCAGCACTTTCGGAGGCTGAGGTGGGCGGATCACTTGAGGTCAGGAGTTTGAGATCAGCCTGGCCAACAACCAACCTGGTCAGGAGTTTGAGGCCAGCCTGTATCTACTAAAAACACAAAAATTAGCTGGGAGTGGTGGCACGCACCTGTAATCCCAGCTACTCGGGAGGCTGAGGCAGGAGAATCACCTGAACACGGGAGGTGGAGGTTGCAGTGAGTCGAGATCACACCACTGCAGTCCAGCCTGGGTGACAGAGGGAGACTCCATCTCAAAAAAAAAAAAAAAAAAAAAAAAATTCTTGTTTAAGTTTGATAGAACGAACCCTAAGGTTTTAACCAGAATAAAACAGTAGCCTCTTTACTGTAGTATGTATTTTCGGTTTTGTTTTTGAGGCAGAATCTCACCCTGTGACCCGGGCTGGATGACATTGGCTCACTGCAACCCTGACCTCCGCAGCTCAAGTGATCCTCCCATCTCAGCCTCCCTGGGATTACAAACACACACCACGACTGGCTAATTTTTTTTTTTTTGAGACGAAGTTTTGCTGTGTCACCCAGGCTGGGGTGCAATGGCATGATCTCGGCTCACTGTAACCTCTGCCTCCCGGGTTCAAGTGATTCTCCTGCCTCAGCCTCCCAAGTAGCTGGGATTATAAGCACCTGCCATCATGCCCAGCTAATTTTTGTACTTTCAGTAGAGATGGGAATTCACCATGCTGACCAGGCTCATCTTGAAATCCTGACCTCAGGTGATCCACCTGCCTTGGCGTCCCAAAGTGCTGGGATTATAGGCATGAGCCAACGTGCCCAGCCGATTTTTTTTGTTTGTTTTGTTTTTTAATGTGGAGACAAGGTCTCACTGTATTGCCTAGACTGATCTCCAACTCCCAGCCTCAAGCAATCCTCCCATTTTGGCCTCCAAAAGTGCTGGGATTACTGGCATGAGCCACTGTGCCTGACATGAAAATAAATTTTTATCTACTTATGCTTTAAAAGATTTTTTTCCTATTTTATAATGTCCATATTACTAAAGAGACACATGATCAAAATTCATTTTAACATGAAGGTGGGATCAGAGAGTTTAGAAACCCTGGAACAAGACTATCCAGAAGGCACGAATCAACTTTCTCTTAAAGAGAGGCCCACAAAGATCCATATCCTCTTCTGACTGAGCTGCTGGGGCTAGGCACCACTGGCAGAAGGGACACGGGGGACAAGGAAAGCAGCCACAGCCCTTTCTTCCCCTAGCAAAGAGCACAGGATGCCCAGCCTTGCCCAGTTCTCCACCTCCAGAAATGGAGCCCAGCTCTGGAGGGGCAGGTTGGGAAACCGGGTGGGCCCCCTCCTCTGGCTCCAGGTGTTCTAACAACTGGGTGGCAGGAAGAATGTGGGAGAGAAGAGCTTCCAGGCAAGGCTTGCCCACCAGCCTCCCCGGCAGACAAACCACCCAGGCCATCAGGCCACCTGCCGCCAGTCCTGCCCCATCCCACCAAGCAATCACTAACCAACACTTTGATTCT